GGCAAAAATGTTATTTAACCAAATAGAAAGTAGAATATATGTGTCCTTAATACTTTTCCATGTGGCTGTAACTTGCCAAATTTGCATCTGGCTCAGATAAACTTGGCAATTTTTTACCCAACCTATTGACTTGTTCATTACCTGCCCATTTAAAACGGGTTAAGGTCAGATATTTATGACCTGTGGCACGTTAATGACCCGTTAAGAGAACCCGATGGGTCACGGGTCGATAACGGGTTGGTTTACCGGGTTAACTAGTTTAACCCATTTATTCGTATAAAAATTACAAAATTTTAATTTATTATTTATTTATTTTGTTTTCCAATTATCAATCCCACCTAAACCTCTAATAATTGACTAATTTTTCCTAATTAGCTCATTGATTCTCTTAACTTATCATCTTCTAGAAGTAAAAATAATCTCACTCCACTTATAACTCACCTCTCGACCCTTCTTATTCTTGCTTGCCCTAATATTCTCTAAGACTCTAACTCTTCGAAGTTCAAACTCTTCTCATATTCTTCAACCTCCATGGTCCATACAACCTTCGACTTTCAAGTTTTGACTCCACCTTTTCTCTTTAGTCTTTAACATTATCTCAAACTTAGATCTTAATCTTACTAAGTCATTGTCGTGTCAACTCAGCCCTTTCTTTCTTTCTCCTTTGAGTTCAACAAGTGCTCTCTTTATTACCAACTTCTCTCTCTAAAGCCTTCAAGGTAAGTTGTTTACTTATGCTTTTTAGTTTTCTTTTCATTCCAAGTAAAAATTCTATTTGATCTTCTCCTTTGCTCACTTAGATACATTCAATTGATTGATTCTTTGAAAGCAATGATTAGAACAAATATGTTCTAATGGGGTTTGTGTTTTTTGGTTGTCACGCTACTACTGCTTTTTTTTTTTTTTTTGCTATTGAGATTTATACATGTGTGGTGTTCTCAAATTTGATTAGAACTATTTTTTGAAGGGAAGTGGAGAAGGTGATTTTGAGGAACTGTAAATATGTTTTATTAAATTAATGAAAAAAAAGTTCTTTTTGTAAGATGTTGAATTTCATTTTTAAATCTTTAGAATAATTTTCTTTTAAAAAATAATAGGTACAAATTATAAAGAAAAAAAAGAAAAAAAAATTTAATTCGGTCAATCCGCGATTGACTTGTGACCCGTGATGGGTGGGTAAGGGTCAACCTTATTGATCCGTGACTCATTTTAACCCAACCCGTTTTGATCCATGATCTGATCCTAACTCAACCAAACCCACCCACTTGCCAGGTCTAGGCTCATATCAAAATTGTGTAGAAGTGTAAGTTTCATCGTGTAAATTAAATGTATAAGTTAATTGAAGGGATAAAAAAGTAAATTTCTTTAACTGAAGGGATAAACAAGGAAATGTCTTTAATTGAAGGGCTAGAAAAAGCATTAGCATAAAAGTTGAGGGGATCAATAATTGAGTCTTAATGTTTTTTTCTTTTTTAATTGGAAAGGTAGTTATATAATAATATAAAAATTTGAATCTTTAATCATAATTTTAAATCAAAAATTTTAAATTAATTAACACCAACTTAACCAAGCACTCATAGGTGTTTTAAACCATCTAAATTTCACGTAAATGTGTAATGGTGAGATTTTACATGTATAAGAACATCACTTTTTAAAATTACTATAGCACTGTGAGAGAAGGGGCTTCCACCCATTAACCTATTTGATGTTGAGCTAGAATTGCTTATTTTATTTTTACTTTTTTTTGGTAAATAGTAATAATATTATTAGTTTGAGTACAATGGATACTTTGCCCTTACAATTCATCTCAAGATCCCTCCACTTTTTGTCTATTGCTATGTCATACCATAAACTTGAAATACAATTTTTGTTCATGGCTTGTAGCATGTTAATTGTAGCCATGATGACTTCTTAAAATCGTTATTTTTACTAATGATATTTTTACTAATATAGTTGTTATTTAAATATATTATATTAACTATTTTAAACAATAAATTTATTCAATGCACCATATATATTGTAAAGTTTGAGACAGAAGAGTTGAAACTTATATTGTGGTGTCAACACTTATGTTTTATTTTCCATATCAACCCTAAGTTAACAGCCACATGGCATTTTTTTACATGTTAGCAATTTAGTGGGTCTCACAAGTAGAATCTGTTTGTCAATTTAGTACCAACATTTAATTAATTTTTGAATAGTAAAATAAAAAAGGTAGTATTTTGATTAAAAATTTTTAAAAGTGATGTACTTATATTTG